GAATGCAATCCAATGTGACTAAATGCCTTTCAATAGACGGAAGGTGAATGCTGTCAAATGTAGGCAGCATCTGTTATCCTATTGATTGTGCTTCAGTTGTTCCATTTGGAAAAGTTGGAATGAATAACCAATGAACAAAAATTGTATGTGCCGTTGACTAAAAACGGCGCTTTTTATATGAACCAGCCATGCAGCCTTGGAGTGAGGGAAATGTTGCCATGCAAATTAATTGCAAAAAAACCTGTAGTATACACTCGCATTTAGGGGAGTCGATTTCGAAAAAGCCTGTTATTAAGTACCAAAACGCTAATAAATTATGGGTTTTGCAAGATTAAATGCCAATTTAGTTGAAGTACAACCAAATGAGTGAAATGGTGGCCCTTGCAGGGATAGCTTTGATCAAGTCATCCACATTGCATATGGCATTGTCCTTTTACGCACTGCTTACAAAATTCAAGCCATGTCGATGTACTGGGAGGCGTTCTCCACCAGCCATACCAGCTTTACCAGTGAACACATGATAAAAGTGACGTGTGTATTTCCTAACATTGTATCATACGAAACATTGTTAGAGATTGCCTTTTCTCCCAAATAAATGATTTGACAATCGGATTCCTCTAGATATTGCATGTCTTTCTATTAAAACATTATGCATTGCTCACACAGTAATAACTACTCATGCAAATAGATTGAGTGCGTTTAATAAAGGGAGAAGAGGTAATGCCAATTAGCATCAAACACCCACGCATTCTTCCAAATAACTTGCATACTACATGTTTGCTTGTACAGACGTTCAGGTAGCATGCAAGCCAGCCACTAGTCACTAGTCTATCAAACCACATCAAAGGTAGCTGCCATATAATACCCTAACAAGACCGCCTTCTCTCACACGCCCGTAAGCTTACGAATTTTTACCACCTTCACCGTTACTGCATGTTACATAGTCAACTCAGAAGCCATCTGCAGCCACAAATGACACCTCATACTCTTGCCAAGACAATGGGCACACCATACAAGTCAAAAGCAGCACATTGGAATGCGGCCACTACAGCATATGAAAGACAGAGCAATGCATTACACCCTACCATGTCCCATAAGGCTGACAGTCGCCGAAGCGGCATAGGCATGTAGTTTATTCAAATATCAAGAAGTAAA